CGCCATCAATTTTGTTTTTAAAAAAAAAATTAAATGCATTAAAAAATAAAAAAAAATATGTGCACCTTCTCATCACCATTAACACGTTTGGAATTGTTAGCGAGATAATTTACCTTGCAGTGTTACTCTTTTACTCCACAAAAAAGTACAAGGTATTTATCTTATAACCCCACTTCATAATATTTTTCTTTAACTTTTTTAACTAAAATTAAAACTTTTTAATTATTAAAATAATTATTTTTCTTTATTATTTATATTTGTTTTTTCTATCGTGGGCAATGAATAGAAAGTTGAGCATGTTGAATAGTGAGTAATATAGTTGTAATAAAAAAATAGATAAAGAATGAATTTATCTATAAATATGTGTGTGTATTTAGAAATAGATAGAGATGGTGGTGTAGCTGTGGTGATTTGGCATTTTCTGGTTTTGTTAGGTGCTTGTTTGCGTTTGATGTATACATAACGAAGCTAGCTAAGCTAATTTAGGAATAAGAAACAAAAGGAGAGAGTTGAAGGTGAAGGTGGTGGTCATAGCAAGACTAGGATTTTAGAGAGAGAAGAAGAAAGAAGGGGATTTTAGAGAAGAAAAAGGCAACTTTTGACTGGGTTTTTATGTGCTCTTTTTGTAGAAGAATGGAATGATTGGTCTGAGGCTGAGAGTTTGCTGAACTCTTTTCTGTTCTTACAACAGGTGCACAAGTTGTTACACTCTAAAGCCATGCCAGAAAATCTCGTTGCTTCTGTTTGAAAGGAGGGGAAAAAATGAGGAGGAGAGTTTGTGTCTGCACTTGCGGACACTTGCCCAAGTGTGGGTCCGCCGTTGATCTCCAAGATCACCATCCCTAACTTTAAGAAGCCATTCAGATTTTTTTTTATTTCCATCAAATTTTGAATGCCACTTCCAGAATTAAGGCGCATGTTCTTGGTCAAAGTTAATAAATGACAGTGAGACCAAAGATGGAAAGAATTTATGGTTGCGTTAACTATCTCTTGTCTGTTGCCATGAAGAATAACAGATAATATTTGCCGAAAGTCACCTCCCAGAACAATGACTTTTCCACCAAATGGCTTATCAACACAACCGACATCAGAAAACCTAAGAACATCTATAAGTGTTGTGTCCAGAGCCTCAAAGCAAAATCTGTGTACCATTGGGGCTTCGTCCTAAATGATTAACTTAGTTTTTGACAGTAACTCAGCAAGTGTGGAATTTTGCTTTATATTACATGTTGAGTTTTCAGTGATTTGAATAGGAATACGAAATCTAGAATGTGCTGTTCTTCCCCCAGGAAGCAGAAAGGAAGCAATTCCGCTAGAAGCGACATTAAGTATGATTTCACCTTTTGCTCTAACAGATGCTGACAGAGTATTTGAAATAAATATTTTTCCTATACCCCCAAAGCCGTAAAGAAAAAATAATCCTCCTATACCTACTGTAATTGCTGAAATGATTTTTTTATAAACAACTCCCTGCTCATCTGTAAGAGAATTCATTAGTCTTACATGCTCTTCTATCAATGAAAATCTGTCATACAATAATTCATCAAGCACTAATCTATTTTGCATATCAAACAAAGATGGACTCATTATCTGAGGCATTGATGGGTAATCAGCTAGTCCTCTACCATTGATCTGGAGTACTTTATCAATTTCAGCAAGTGTTGTGTGTTTTAAATACTCTTCAGAAACAACCGCATTTGATCCAACATCAAAGTAAAAAAAAAAGGATTAGAGTTGGCAAAGTGGGTGGCTCACCATCAAACCGCTAAAAAATGAGTCAGTCTATCCCATCCTATTTTTGAAAGTGGGCTAAAAAACTCAATCCTCCGGCCCAAACTTATTTTACACTGACCCGCCTCGGCCCGTCTCTCCCCATCATCAATCTGCCAAAAAATAAGTTCGCCCCATCCTGCTTTTGAAATGAATTATAAAACTCATTCCACCCTCACCGAGCCGAGTCCATTAGTAAGGATCTCAATTCTCAACAATAAATCAATTAAAAGACCTCTCAACAAGACTGCTATGCAAAGGCGGTTGGATGAATTTACAAGTAGGACATGCCCCATACTATAAATACAAAGAAATGTTTTTAAGCATATTCATCTTTTCTCATACATTCAGTATATAATTATTAAAATATTAATTTAGTATCAAAATGTCGTGTAATTACCCATCCCTCTGTTGTAGTTAAATCATCTTGTCTGAGGCAAATCCCTAGCTCGAAATCTCAACTCGCTAGAAGATAAAAAAACCGTTCGTATGAGAAATTAGGCATCACCAACCCTAAAATAAACACGCCCAAGATGGGCGTGACCAGGAGAGAGACACGCCCAACAGAGGCGTGACCTCCCTGGTCTATATATACCTCATTTTCACCTTTTCCTCATTCCATCCCTTACTTCCTCTCTCTAAATCACTCCTCCAACTTCTCTCTACATTTCTTCTGGAGGGTTTTGTGCAGCGAAGCTCTGCCTCTCTCTCATGTAAGTCCGTATTTATTGTTTATATTATTTATTAACAACAATAAATATATGATAGTTATTAGTGACTTAAACAATTGTTAGTAGGTTAGAAACATATTTGTGACCTATGTAAGAGAATGATTAGTGACTTAGGAATTACATAGAAACTTAGAAATTAGTAGTTACTTATAAATTTGTATATGCTGGTGGTAGGAATTAACTTTGTTGACTTAGAAATTAGTTAGAGACTTAGAAATTAGTTAGAGACAATTAATAATTTTATATGAATGACACATATGAACATATTGTTGACCTTCCAATTAACTACATTGTAATTAAAGTTTGTTAAAAAATAATATAGTAGGCAATATTAATTTAAATTGATATTAAATTATTTAATCTTTTTAAATATAAATTAGAAAAATTTAATGTTCTTTAATTCAGTTTTATTGACGTTAATTTAATTGAAATTAATATAACTTAATTCAATTTAATTCAATTAAATGCTATTTAATAAAGTGCAATTTAATATAATATCAATAATAATTTGTGTATAATTTTTTCATATGTACTAGTACTCTATTATGGCTCATTCGTCTTCGTCGGAGTGGCCGCGATCTGGATCCGATGGTGATGCTGAGCCATCCGATCCTTGTACGCATATACTTCCTGGACCATATAGGTGAGAGGTACTGCGTAAGAGGACACAACGCACTCACGTTTCACAGCTTGTGTGGAACGAGGATAAGGTAAGGGGGTTAAAGACGAGGCGCTGGAAACTACAGGTGGACCTCGTTATGACGATATACCAGACATCGTCGCTGACTATCTGACACAGGCCAGTTTCATACACGTGGCACGTATGAGTCATATTCAGGTATGTAAATTTTAAATTACTTAATGAAATTACCTATAATGGACTTTCTATTATTTTTGTTTTTCTTTCAGATCGATACTGCCCTGATCAGTGCTTTGGTTGAGCGGTGGAGACCAGAGACACACACGTTTCACATGACACAGGGAGAGATGACAATCACATTACAAGACGTGGCTGGTATACTTGGTTTGCCTACTGACGGGCAGGGAGTTACCAGACCTACAACGTTATCATAAATATACGTGTAATGTGGAATTTCAGACCAAAAAGGAGTTACAGGTACATCTCCTGCATGTTCTACATAAATACACTGTTATTATTTTCTTAAACAAAATCGGAGCACGCTAACATGAAATTGTTACATAGCATACCTTCAGGATGTTCTGGTACTTGACTCGATGTTGTGTCATGATGTATTACGATACGAGACTCCCTCAAATCATGCCATGGCTGAAGTTGAGTACCAGACCTGCCGCATTCTTTGTCATTGTCTGATGCACTCGCATCCTCTGCAAGAAGACGATCCTCCATTGCGATATTTTCCTCATCATCTTCCTTATAGTCTTCATCCATAACCCAGGTAGGGTCATGTTCATCTTCCTCAGACATGTTAACAGCTAGAGCAGCAGATGAGGATGCATTAAGAGGAAAATTAGAAGTAACTGACCTCATTGGTTGCATAACATCCTCCGCGGTGGCAGTATCCACATACAACTCTAAGAAATCCTTTATAGACTGGTTCAAGAACTCTTCCATTACCATATTGACATCTGCGTCATCGACCACTTGCAAACTAATGTATTGTTCACATTGCCATAATTTTGTCGTGAGTAGAGTGATCGATTGGTTGTCTTCAAGACATATTTTTTGGCGTATTTTCTGATGCAGCTCCGCAACCGTTGAGTTCCGTTTAATACGTGATGACCTTTTCTCCCCTACAAAAACAACACCACAACGACCTTCCTCTTTTCCGTTAAAATATAGAACAACACGAACAAATTCAGAATTCGAACTCATACTTAAAATTAAAAAAAATAAGATAATAAGAGTAAACAAGTGCAAAATATCAATAAACACTACAAACACTATAAATAACCAAGTAAGAAAGAATGTGGGAGTTTAAGAATAATGAAGGAGAAGAGTTGTGAAGAGTGTATAGAGGGTGAGTGTTTAAATAGGCTGCAGTTGGGTCACTCACGCCCAAAATGAGCTTGACCTTCAGCTGGAACACGTCCAATGTGGGCGTGTCTTCCTTCATAGGTCGCCCCACATGGGCGTGTCTCTCTCCTCTTGGTCACGCCCCATGTGGGCGTGTTTGACCAGTAGATCACGCCCAAAATGGACGTGTCTTCCTTGATTGGAACACGCCCCATGTGAGCGTGTTTGACTGCTATAGTTTCGTAATTAATTTGAAAATGACTACATATTCGTAATTTTTTATTAAAAATGCAATAAATTAATTTTTTTGCCGAAATTTAGGGGTAAAAATGAAAATAAAGCAATTTGGTTATACTTGTGAGAAATTTAGCCACTGAATGATTTTTCAAAGACCACATAAACTGATAAAAGACCTTCACAAACTAATTTGGTATTTTATTATTAAAAAAATAAAAAATAAATCCGCCAGATTATAGCTCAATTGAAAAAGAAAGAAAGCGGAATAGCCCTTTCCTTTGCTCTGTAGTTCTCTGATTTTTCTTGGGTTTTGGTGTTCATTACATTTCCGATGAACAATGAGTCGCGAGTGCACCCACCAACGCCTCTACGATTTTGCCAAAATGGCTCTCATCAAGATCTTCGCTCACCCCTACGCCACGGTTGGTATCACACACCCCTTTTTCCCTTTTCCTTTATTTTTTTCGCTTACTCCTATCCTTATGCATTCCTTCTATTCGATTTAAGGTATGTGACTTGTATTGTGGAGGAGGTTTTGATGCTGAGAGATGGGTCGATGCCCAAATTGGCCACTACATTGGAATTGGTATGCTCTGCTTGTTTTTATGTCAAAATCAAGTTTCAGTGTGATGAACAATGGGTTGTTGTTGTTGTTGTTGTTGCTAATGTAGACGGCTCTTCCTCTGGGATAGACCAAATGCGAGAAGCGTGGGAGAGGCACAGGAAATCTTATACTGCCGAGTTCTTTGAGATTGACCCTTGCACGGTGAGCTTTCAACACTAGTTCACGTTTTATCTCCTCTTTTCTAGAAAAGGGTTCGATGGAGACGAAATACCCATTCTTTGTTGTTAAGGAATGTAATATAAAACTTTTTATGTGTCCTTCACTTAACAACTTAATGGCTTTACATTATGTATTGTGTGTCAGTTCCTAGTTTTTTTTTTTTTTTTTTCCAACTCTATTTTAGCTGTGTAATACTGTTTTTATAACTCTGGTACCCAACATATATGTGTAAGTGGGGTGGTTTGTAAGTGTTGTTGGAAGGGTTTTCTGATAAGTGCTAAAATAAATGTAAAATGCCATAAGAATGAAGTAAAAAAGAGAAAGACATGTATAGAGTATACCTAGTTAACTACATGAAAAAGACTTAGACTATATGGGGAGATATGCAATCTTGTCCTAACATATTTTTTGAGTTGAAGAGGAAGATTTCAATGGTATAAGAAATCCTCCATTGAAAATATGGACCTGCTTGAGAGATATGATTACTGCTGTAGAATGGGTAAGGGAGAAACAGAAGAGAAAAATAAATTGAGGGAGTGTCATGAAGGGGAGGAACTAAGAAGAAAAGGGAACTGAGTGAGAAAGAGAAGTTTCATAGCAATTTCAAATCTCAATTCAAGCTGAAATTTTTAAAATGGAATCCTCAGTACATTGCTATGAATGATACAAGTTGAGCCAAGATGAGCACTTGAAGCTCAAGCTTGGCTTGCGAAAAAAAGATTATGCTTAAGTTTGACTTATTTATTTAAAAGAACCAAATTCAAAGCTTGGGCTTGGCTTGTTTAAAAATATACAGGTTGAGCTCGACTTATTTAGCTTGTTTTTAGTTTGATTGCATTCTTTCCCTTTATCAAATCTCTTCTTGAAGTAACTTTTAGGTTTATTAATTTAGTATTTAGTATGCATTTTTCGTGCTAGAAAATGAAGCAGCTTAGGTTTATGTAAATTGAACGTCTTGATTTTTTTTTTTTTTTTTTAATATGAATTTTATGCTCGAGTGGTTAATTTAAATGGCAAATTTGATGTATAGGAGTCAAATAGTTTATTTTGTCATGTTAACACCTTTCAATAGTGAGGCATGCACAATTTGGCACCTCTAGCCATACGGCATTGAAATTTGAAACCCCCTACTGCCTTAAGGATGTCTTTTGCTTTTGACCACCTTGAATTGAATTAAACAGAACTATGTCTATTATACTATTGACCTATATTTTCATTTTTTTTTGTCAGGAGAATATAGAAATGCATTTGGAGGAGAAGACAAATACGGCTGATTTTGTCTGCTGTTTGCAGCATTTGCAGGTCTGACATTCACTTTGTAACTTTGTTTTGGAGCATTGTATTTTTTTTTTGGCTATTTACATGGAGTTATAGTTTCTGTTCAGCTCTAATAGAGGGTATTGTATTTTCTAACACTTTGCTTTTACTCTTTATGTCCTTTTAATATATAATACTTTGGTGCCTGCTGTGTTTTCAGTCATTATCTCTTCCGACACTCTTTTATTTATTTTTTATTTAATCCTCTGAGACTTACCTGCCGGTCCTCTTCTGATTAACATCTTTAATGCAGTTGTGTTTTGAAACTGAAGAGAAAGCACAGAGACTTCTACATAACGTGTCATCTCTGCTGAAACCAGGGGGTTATTTTCTTGGTATTACTCCTGACTCATCTACCATATGGTATGAGACTTCATTATCAAAGGCCTATTATTCTCGGGTTGAGTTGCACGATTTCTTGTGTTCACTTTTTTTGGGTATTCTTTTTTCATTTGGTCTATTGGTGAAAGATAATTCATATGATATATAGTGTCAAAATTAATTTTTGTAGAATTGTTTAAGGGTTTACCTATTTGACACCCCTTCCTTACACTCATGTTTGAATGAACCACTTTGATGGTATACTGTTCAAGCTAAAAAACCTAAGAATTTTCCCTGATTTGTCTTCTCTTAGATTGTTACTGCAAGCAAAAATATTTCCGCTGTTTTGGAAATACTTGTACATTGTCCCTCTTATTTAGTTCCATCTCTTAAACTTGAAATATAATTGGATAATAATGCTTGTGTTTACATTGATTGGCTTGATTTTCCATTGGAATTGGGCTAGATGCTGTATTGGAATACCTAATTGTTGAGATATATAGTCCCACATTGGTTGTATGTGCAACTAATGTGGAGTTTATAAGGCCTTGGGCACTCCCACCCTTTGAGCTAGCTTTTGGGGTGGTGTATTCCAAGGTTCTTTACATGGTATCAGAGCCTCGCCGCCCCCCACTTTCTCTTGTGGCGTTTCTTAGCACAGGTAGGCTGGGCCTGTTGCATTGTCCACTCTTCAAGCCCAATGGGCTCTTGTGTGAGGGGGCGTGTTGAGATATATAGTCCCACATTGGTTGTATGTGCAACTAATGTGGAGTTTATAAGGCCTTGGACACTCCCACTCTTTGAGCTAGCTTTTGGGGTGGTGTATCCCAAGGTTCTTTACACTAATTCTATCAGTGAAATTTCTAGTAGTTCTTTCGAAGGTGTAGGATTTCTGAGCTATGCCTTTTAGTTCGTCTTTGGTGTCTTACAAGTTACAACCATGTTCTAAATTTCGTAGTCTTCTTTTTCTCTGGTATGCCTTTATTAATGTTAAAGTAGTTTCAATATTTAGACTTTTCTACTTACAACTAACTTTAAGGTGTGCCCCTTTTATGTTCTGTCAGGATTTTTTTAATGGATATTGTCAAATGGTTTATTTATTTCCTTGTAATATTATGCATCTTTATTTATAATGAGATCTCTCTGACCAAGTGTAGAGAAAAAAAGAAAAGGAAAAGCATTACCTAGTGGTTTCAGATGAAATCTACATAAAAAGTCCAGAATTAGATAATAAATTTATCTTCTTTTGATTAAATAATTTTTTCATGCTTCTACCTGCAATTGATTCTATCTATTTTCTATATATTGATTTCATCCATCGCATTACTACTTGGGCTCTATCGGCTTTTGTCTTTGTTACTGTCTTTCTGAGCTTTTATGTAAAGCCTGCATGAGATCTTTATACTCAAATATACTGGATAATGTTAACATTGTAGCCATACAGGGCCAAGTACCAGAGGAATGTTGAAGCTTATCACAACAAAAGCAGCAGCATGAAGCCAAACATTGTTCCCAACTGCATCAGGACAGAGAATTACATGATTACTTTTGAAGTTGAAGAAGAAAAGTATATATGTCCACAATTGATCAACTGCTTGTTGCTTAATTCTTGGCTTTGGTTATTTTATTTTTTTTCAGTTTCCTCAACCGGTTCATCCTTCGGACAAATCCGGTTCGAGCACTGTCAGACCCTATATAGGGGTGGTTCTCCCAAGACCATTTTTTCCATTCCTAGGACTCGAATACGAGACCTCTGATTAAAGGACACAAGCTCCTTACCACTTGTGCCAATGTTGTTTGATTTGGTTTGGTTATTTTAGTTACAATTTTATTGTTATTCATTTGAATCTGTCTAATGTTTCCAGGTTTCCATTCTTTGGAAAGAAATACCAGCTAAAATTTCCTAATGATGTATCTGCTGAAACCCATTGCTTGGTTCATTTTCCAAGTTTCATCAGGTTTTCATCTTACTTCATAACCCAAGATTTACTACCGTGAGTTGTTGTGTTGGTCGTAGTATCAAAAAGAAAAACTTGAGTGCCAATTTTTTAAATTTGTTTTGGTCTAGATTTCACTCATTCAGAAATTCGAAACATGCTGAAATTGACTTTGTTCTATGTGGAATGTAAAATTTGAGATTTGGAATAAATGAGAGTGGCTTTAACTGCTTGTACGTGTTTGGTTCCTATCTTCAATTTTGACTTTGAAAAAAATCTGATATGACTTCTGCTTGATAAAACTCAGGTTGGCCAGGGAAGCTGGCCTTGAGTATGTGGAGATTCAAAATTTGACCGAGTTTTATGATGACAACAGGTTAGTTTCGCTTTCTCTGGAGGAGACTTACCATCCAAATCCTTCAACTATATTGTGTGTTTTTAGCAATATTTGAGTTTGCAAGATTATTTATTCAATTTACTTTTTGTTATTGTTGCTGGAAGAGCACAATTAGCAGGTCTTCTAATGAACTACGTTCCAAACCTTTTGGACCCTAGGGGGAAACTTCTTCCTCGATCATATGATGCGTTAGGTGATGCATCAATTGTTTTTTTTTTTTTTTTATCATGTTATTGCTTATAAGTTTCTTGGTTTCACTTTCACCTATTATTTATTGGGATACTTGTGTTTTCTACTCCAATGCAGGTCTCTATACCACATTTATATTTCAAAAGCCTGACCCAGAAATCGCACCTCCAGTTGCGACTCCATTGATGCAAGATGCTAGTTATAATCTCGATGAGGTAATTAATAATTATTATAGACTTTTTTATCTTGATGTACCACTTTTAAAAGAATTTTACTACTTTGATCAATAATTATTTCATTGCACCCCCGAGGTTAGATGTTTGTGGGACCCACTAAATATGGGGTTCTACTGTTGGACCCACATAATCTGAGGGTCCGTATTTAGCATGAGGAAGAAATCTTCCTTCTGCTGGTGTATATAAGAATTTTCATATAGTCTGTCATCTTGCTTTTTTACGACTTGACTCTCCTGTGTATGCAATGCAAGTGTCATTCCTACAGGAAATATCAGTTAACAAATAAAATAAAATAAATAATTTAAATTTAAACTAAAATAATAAAAAATTGTGAAAAAAAAGTGGTACTTCAAAATGAAATTCTAGTGGGAAAATTCTTTTAGCTACATTCCATTTTCATGTACAGTGAGAACTAACTTTCTTTAAGCAAAAGCAACTGATGGTGACAATTTTCTCATTTGCATTGTTGTGACTTATATTATATAGTACTAATTTTGTGGAAATGCTTCAACCTCATGGCTTTTGCTTTGCCAAATTATTCTTTTTATTCGTTTTATAATTAAAATATTTCTAATATCATTTTGCATTCATGTTATTGTATTGACATTCTTGCATGGCATTGTTGTGGCAGGGAACTAGTTGGCGAGATGATGAAATGAATGGACATGTAGTAGAGCCTCCTTCTCTTGGGCTGGGCAAGATAAGCGAACAAAAAGGGATCTTGGGTCCTGGCCCTGCAGATTTACGGTTTCCAGAGGCACTCTGACTCATCTACAGGTTTACCTAATTTCCTTGTTTCGAATACTGTTAATATTTTTAGCAACAAAGGAAAAAAAAATGCAGTTAGGAGTATACTTTTATTCTTCTTCTTTTATTATTTTGGTAAAGATGAGGTGTTTGACATGTAGTCAATGTGGACGGGTTAGTTTATCTTATCTTTACATGCTGTACTTATTAGCTTTTCTTTGCATGTAATCAATGTGGAATAGTTAGTTTATCCTATACTTTTGTCAAGCATGTGTCATAATTTTTTTTCCCATCTTTCATGCATAATAAATTATTACAAAAAAAAAATTAAAGTTTGAATTATGGAGAAGAGTTCTTTTGACTCCAGAGTAACACTTTTAAGACTTACTTCTCATCTCAGCCGTTGATGGACAAAAATCAATAGTTGTCATTTGTAATATAATTAATAATTAATTAATATGACTTGTAAGTCTTACTTTAGAGTCAAAATATTTCTCTCCCTGAATTATTATTATTATCATTATAAATTCAAAATTTAGATTTTCATTAATGTGTTATTTATGAAAAAATTCATTAATATCTTAATGCATACTTGATTTCAATCTTTATTAATATTTTTATAAGAAAATTAATTAATATCTTCGTACACAATTAAAATTTTGAATTTTTATTTATTTATTTTGCAATGATTCTATATACCTAAGACAGTTGTTAATATAGTATAAAAAAAATGAAAATTCCCAAAGCAAATGCCATGAAAAACTGTGCTTAAATACTCCACTAAATTAGTCAAAGTTAATCAAACATTGTGATCAAACAGCTGTAGGCTAATCATTACAAACACTCACTAAAATTAAAACTAAAGAATAAGAAATGTTTCATATAATATAATATTATCTTTTACAATAGGCATGAGGTAACCGGTCAGGACGAGGGGCACACCTGGCAAAGTGGGCGGCGCGGTCCGGCCCGTCTCATCCCGCCAAAAAATGAGTCAGCCCGTCCCGTCTCGCTTTTGAAAGTGGGCTCAAAAACTCAGCATGTCCTGTTCCGTTTGGCGGGTTGGGTGGGTTGGCCCGTCAGCCCGAGCTTATTTTACACTGACTCATCTCGGTCTGCCTATGCCCGTCATCAACCCGCCAAAAAATGAGTCCGCTCTGTCTCGCCTGCTTTTGAGATGGGTTAAAAAATTCAGTCTGTCCCGTTCCGTTTAGCGGGTTGGACGAGTTGGCCCGCCAAGTCGAGCCCGTTTTGCCGGCTCTAGGCACACCACACTATCCCAATTCCCAATTGATAATAATAGTGATGATCTTCAGAACATGTGTTCTTACTGCGTTAGGTTCTTTAACATCATCCTAATAATTATTATGTTGGTCTTTTATGAGAATCTTATTTTTTATGTAAACACCGTATAGAGTTTCGGAAGAAAAAGAAAGAAAGTACAAAGTTTATATTTTTTGAATTTAAAATTTTTATAATTTATAAAAATAAATAAAGGATGATTGAAAAAGTTTCGTAATAATTTATTATTATTTATTTGATTCTGAAAGGATTATTGAATTAAAAAAATCTAATTAAGATAAAAAAAATATCCTTTTTTTTATGAAAAATTTGTCTTAAACATATTCTAGACATTTCGGTTAAAAGATAAGGATCAAAATTTCTTTATACTTACGCAGATAACCCAATTAATGTATCAATTAACAAACAATGTTAAGATTAAGAGTACCCCACAGGTCACAGGCAGCGACAAGACAACAATAATATAAAGTCACGCAAATTGATTAGTCAAAAAGGGAATCACAAATTTCACAATCACCAGCTAAAGCTAAACATTGTGTTTTCGAGTCCGAATCGGATAAGGAACTCCGGGTCGTCGTTTTGGCGGCTTTTGGTATTTTCGGATCCGGGTTAGATATGTGGAGCAAAGGTAGGAGGGGCATATTGGTAAATGAAGGCAAATCCGCGTACTTTCCATTAATGATTCTCTCCCCTTAGTTGCGGAGCCAAATTAAAGTCCTTCAAATTTTTGTCATTTCCATTGTGACGTCCTCTTTAAAAAGTGACTTTAAATTGAAGAAAATCTTTCAACTATATTTTTTTTTTTTTTTTTACTAATTGTGTTGTGATCATATAAGTAAGAATAAAAAGTAGATAGCATTGAGTTTTTTTTTTTTTTTTTTTAATATGATGTAAGTGGAAGTTAGATAAAAGATATGTGACTAGTAAATAATCAATCTTCTAACATCATTATCATGTTACTATTTTATGAGCTAAGTCCGCTAGCAAATATGGTACAAACTCATCGTCAAAGAACTTTTTTATGCTAAATGATTTCTTCTTAATTCCTTAAAATGTATATTCCAAGCAAGAATTGCAAATTCACTCAATGTGTCATGTTTATGATGAAAGATTTGTCTATAGTTGTAATTAAGAATTTTTTCACTACCACTCAGTAGGCCACTAGACTGTTGTTTTTTTATATAAAAAAAATTATACAAAAAAGAAACTGTTATATTTGTTGAATACAATTTTTCTTTGAAAACTTTATGTGAATAAAAATGATTTTTTTTTAAACATTTGAGATGCGCATGTAAACATTTATTTTTGACCAAGGCAAGTCAAATTTTCAATTGTTTATATACAGTCATTTTTAGTTTAATATAGCAAATAATTCTATTATAAAAAGTTACTATAATTGAAGTTGGTCGTTTGAATAAGAAAAACTCGAAGTGAAATCGTCTACAATTTTTTTTTTATTTTTATAAAACTTCAAAATCGCACCGTTGAAAATGTTCAATTACATAATAAAATAAAATTTAAAACAATATTTATTAAAAAGGATGGTGAGATTCATAAATGCATACTATGCATTTTTTTAATCTTTAACTCTTGAGAATTCAAATCTGAGAGTCACACACTAGTCACAACTAATTTATTTTCAGTACTCTAGAATTTCATTTTTGATATTGATTCGAATTTTTCAATCATACATAAAAAATAATAATTAAACTTATAACTCTATACGACCTTTTTAAAATGGGATTAATATTTCTGTTGTAGAAAATAATTTTACCTCTTACACGTAAAAATGTAAAAGTGTATGGATTTCAAGCTTTCAACGTATGATAGCAACAACTTCAAAAAATAAAAATTAAGAGAGAGTCGTTGTAGTATGTTTAGAATGAGTTGTGAAATATTTATTGAGTATTAATTTCAAAATATTGAATTTATTAATTTATTTATGATATACGTGGTTTCACTCGCTTTTCTCTCTGTTTGTCTGAGTTTCTACTTTGTTTCCATTACATGTGCACCTTGTTTTCTAACACTGCAGCTTCCCATCTATTTCCCTCTCTCTCTTCTCTCTTCTCTCTCCTTCACTTCCTCATCTTCCACTACGTTGCTCTCTCCTCAAAGATTCTTTTGTTGCTTATGCTTTTTGTGATCGGTGAGTTTCTGGCTCTTCCATTGTGCTTCATCATTCTGTGTGTTTCTCCTTTTATTCTATTGCTTGGCTTTTTGTGTGCTTCATTCTTGCTACTATCACTTTATTGTGTTAAATTTTAGTCTTTGTGTAATTTTTTTTTTTTTTTTTTTTTTGCCCTTATAAGTAAACAAGCTGATGAAGTGATGTAAACTGTAAAGTATGTATATTGGCAAAAAATTAAGTTTTTTTTTTTTTTTTTTTTTCTGTTTTTTGTTTCCCTAGAGAATAAAGAATAAAGGTTTTGGAATCTGGGTTTGCCAGTAGGATTTGAATTTAGTGGTGGGATTTTAGATTTGTCATTTTCCTTTCTAAATGTAGTGTGAATTTGTGTTAAACCTTTCACCCAGAAAAATGTAGTCCCCTTCAACTTTGAAATTTAGTTAATTCTTGATTTAATGAATGAGTAGACAGAGAATAGGATCCATATTTAGGTTTATGTCATGTAGCTTTCTTCTCTCTCTTTTTTTTCAGTATATATTCTTCAGCAATATTTACCAGAAAAGAAAATTTATATTCCCTTGTTGCTTCTCAATTAAGCATTTCTATCCATCAGAAAGTTGAAGAGCCAAGACAAACTCCAAAAAGAGTAACAAGGGGGAATATAAAGTTTTTTTTTTTTTTTCTTGTACCGGAATATATGTAAATTTTTCAGTGGCACCAGAGTCAGTTCATTCTGGTTTACTTTTGATGATTTGATGCCAGGAATTAATACATCTGTTAGATTTGTATGACTTCACAAAGCATGTAAAACATAAAGAATATTTCCCTTTTTCTTTTTGATTTATAAAATTAAGCTTTCTCAAATGCATTTTTCAGGTCCAAGAACTCTTTTCAACTAAAATTTAAAGTCAGAATTAAGAACTTTTAGAGCATCATATCTTCATTTAATTTAATCCTTTAATAGAATTTCTAATTGATATATTATCATTTCTTCATCAATCCCCATAATATATGCATTTCAAACTTTTAGTATTTTGCTTTTCCTATAATTTTCCAAATAATCCAAAATTTAGGCAAATTAAGAGCTAAATCAGCAATCTGTAAGATGTGGTAGTAGTTTACATAAGCCTCATCTATCCATTCTTCCAAAATGCCTAATATGCGGAATGAATTTGAACCATATGAAAAAGAAGGGGAACAAAGATTCGACTGGTTTGAAAAAGGAAACAGATGCTTTTAATTTCCCGAGTGATCTATTTTTGTGCTTAAAACTTGTGAAACTCAAGAATATGATGTAATCTACTTTTAAACTAAAACACTTGGAATAGCTTGGCATGACTACAAGATGTCAGGATGCTATGTAGCAGGCAGAAATAGGACCAAACCAGTATACACTAGACCAAAGTGAATTATTGCAAGCTTAATCCCATCCTCTCCCCTTCTTTTCCTGCCATGGGACAGAATAGTAAAAGAAAGCAGGTAAAAAAGGATAGAGTGCTTATGTTGTTGGATTTTTTTTTGACTGACAAGTAGTTATATACTTATATTATAAACATATTTTATTTCCTTTCATACAAGTAGTGGGTAATTTCTAGATAAGAGGTTGAAAATATTTGATATACAGGTTGAAATCTATCTGGTATCTGTATTAGATATTTAACAATCTTATTTTGTGTTTTGTTTGCTGAGTATAACAGAGCTATGACGAAGGACTTGTCTTAAAAGAGCATAGTTTCTAACCATTCCTAGATCATAAGAGATGGTTGCAGAATCATGGCTTCGCAATCTGTGGAAACCTCCTCGGAAGCATGATGCTAATTCTGAGAAGGTGGTGATTGGGGTATTAGCATTTGAAGTAGCTAGCTTGATGTCCAAGCTGGTTAATATATGGCAGTCTTTGAGTGATAAACAGGTTGCTAGGTTGAGAGAGGAGATCACAAATTCAGTGGGCATAAGAAAGCTTGTTTCAGTTTCAGATGATGATTATTTCATTGAACGTTTGATCTGTATGGAGATACTTGAGAATATGGCACATGTGGCTGAGTCTGTGGCTAGGCTTGGGAAGAAATGCAGTGATCCAATTTTGAAAGGTTTTGAGAATGCCTTTTATGAGTTCATCACTATGGGTGTGGATCCATATGGGTGGGAATTCACTTGCAAGAAGATGGAAAAAAAGATCAAAAGGATGGAAAAGTTCGTATCAACTAATGCAAGTTTGTTTCAAGAGATGGAAGTGCTTGCTGATCTTGAGCAAACTCTTACAAGAATGAAAGCTAGTGGTGAGTCAGATGTTGTAACTTTAATTGAGTTTCAGAAGAAGGTTGGATGGAAGAGGCAGGAGGTGAAGAACTTGCAGGATATTTCTCTGTGGAACAGGACATATGATTATGCAATACATCTTTTAGCAAGATCCTTATTCACAATATTCTGTAAGATCAACCATGTATTTGGAATTCAAGAGATGGTAGATGTTGGTGGAGCCAATAATTCAAGTGACTTGAATGCGGATTTCATTTATAGAAGTCAATCAGTTTCTGCATTATTGCAATCTTCATTCCACCCATCACAGAATAATGTTGCCAGATTTTCTTCAGGACCCCTTAATGCTGTTGCTGCTAGATCTGGTCCAATTGTTAGAACAAATAAAGCCAGTATTTCTCATTCAGGTCCTCTTGGTGACTCATCCACAAAGTCAGGCCGAATTTTAGGAAAGAATACAAATGTAAATTTTTACTCAGGTCCTCTTGGAAGGAATTCGAATCAATCAGTCCCAGTCACTACAACAAATAAAAGGAGCAAGTTTTGGAAGTTTTATGGACACTCTGCAGCCATTAGTAGGAAGGAAACTCACACGAAACCTGGTCGACTGACTCAAGTAGGACCATTCAAAGGATGTATGGCTTGGGACAGTTCATCTGTCATTGACTGCCACTCAAGTGCAAATGGTGTTCATTATGGAATTCAGAATCCCAAAGATGTTAATTCAATCCCTTTTGGTCCTGGAAAAGTAGTTTATCATACTCAATCCGTCTTCAAATCTCTGTGCAAGCTATTAAATCCTCCACCTGAAACCCTTGGTGCTGCTGCTTTAGCACTGCACTATGCAAATGTTATCATTGTGATTGAGAAGCTAGCAGCTTCTCCACACTTGATTGGTGTTGATGCAAGAGATGACCTGTACAACATGTTACCAAGACGTATGAAAGCTGCCATCAAGGCCAAGTTAAAGCCATATACCAAAACCATGGCGTCATCATCAGTCTATGACACAGGTCTAGCAGAAGAATGGACTGAAGCAATGTCAAGCATATTGGAATGGCTGGCACCTCTTGCTCATAACATGATAAGATGGCAATCTGAGAGAAGCTTTGAGCAGCAGAGCTTTGTTTCCCGGACAAATGTGCTTCTGGTACAAACCCTTTACTTTGCAAATCAAGAAAAGACAGAAGAAATAATCACCGAGCTTCTTGTGGGTCTGAATTATGTCTGGAATTATAGTAGGGAGCTCAATGCAAAAGCTCTGGCAGAGTGTGCCAGTTTTAGGATAGACAATGAATATCCTAATCTGAATGGATAAACAATTTGCATTAAGGTCGTGGCTATTTTCAACAGCAGTCCAGTTCCTCACCAGACTCTGGGATGAGGACTTGCAGAATCACCAACCATCAGTCTTCTTCAATCAATGAATGTGAATCAAATGCTAGCTAAGTGTGAGAGAAATATCTATATGCCCATTATTATGGAAATTTAGTATCAGAATGCGTTCCTGGTGAGAATTTTATTTTTAATCAGTAATTTTCTTTGTGAGTTCCAAGCTGCTAGAACTTGGATGGCTGGTCTCATGTTTTTTTGCAATGTTGGCCTTTCCTCTTTTTCTCTTTGATGAGTTCCTACATGAAGTTTAGGGTGTGCATATTTATGAGAATTATTGCATATGAAATTGTACAGCGCTACCACGTAACAGTGAATGGTTATTTATCTGTGTTCTGAAATGTCAGGCAGAAATATTGTCATACTCTTGGTAGTACCATAATCTTTTATCTTTTATGCTAAACTTGCACAAATTCAAATGTTGTTTCTATCATTGTGTGTATCATGTAGCTCATAGAGGAACAGTGACCATAATGACATTGTTTGGAAAAAAATTGTCTAACTACCACGCGAACAGTAAAATTTTTCAAAGTGTCACGCGTACAAATTCGCTACAGCAGGTAGCGAACTTTGTTTGTAGATATGGCACTTAGTTCCCTACTGCTAGTAGCGAACTAGGTGTCAAAAGTCAGTCTGCTCTGAGTAAAAGCAGGACACGTGTCATCTTTTTCCTAGTTCGCTACCTTACACAGCAAACTAGTGCAAGTTCACTTTTTCATCTTTTTTTCTCTCTCTTTCTCTCTTCCAAGCTGTGCTCAGCTCTCTTCTTTCATCTGTTTTTTTAAGCGAAGGAGATCGGTGAGTGGGAGGGAAAATGTGATGTTTGTAATGTGATTGATGAGTGGTGATTTCATTTCGTTTCAGTTTTGCAGGTTGGTTTGGTTAGCGTTGTGGGGGGAAATTAAGGTTTGGTATTTTGGTAATGTGTATAAGTTGGGATCTGAGGGAGGACGAGTGAGCGAGAGGTGTGGAGGAGTTGATTGCTTTGCTTTGCTTTGTTTTAATGAAATGGAGGAAGAGGATCTTTGTACGGGAAAGCCGGTGGTTCAACCGGGTTGGGATCAAGATTTTAAACTGGTACAGTAAATCAGTGGAAAGTACTAGTTTGCTGTGTAAGGTCACAAATTAAGAAAAGAATGACACATGTTCTATTTTTGCTCAGAGCATACTGACTTTTGACACCTAGTTCACTATTGTGAGCAAATTGACTTTTGACACCTAGTTTGCTATTACCAATAGCGAACTAGGTGCCATGTATGCAAACAAAATTTGCTACCTGCAATAGCAAATTTGTAAGCGTGTCATTTTGAAAAAATTTACTGTTCATATGGTAGTTGAGCAAATTTTTCTCCAAACATTATGGTCACTCATAGCTCTATGGAAACAGATAGAAGCCATTTGTGGAAAAATTATTTCTCTGACACCCCAACTTCCACTATTTACGGCAAATTTACTTTGTCAGTTGTAATTTTCATTTCATCTGCAAATAAAACCTTTTTAGGACTGCCGCTGGTCTTGTGGGCTAGTGAGGTTAGCGGTTCTTCTCATGCCAATGATGTTAGGATTACATCACACGCAATACAAGCAAACCAGACATAACAACAGGGAAGATAAAGTTGCGAGGAACAAGGTTTTGGTTGAGTTATTTGACATATTTTCTCGACCAATTATAGAAACGTGGACACATCGGAACAAGCAAGGAATATCTTGGGTAACAAATCCGAAATGTTGATGATACACCTCCTGACTATAGGAAGCTAGAAAATTCAAAGAACTTCCTTACTCATTTAGAAACCCAAGCACAATTGGAGGGGCGCACCTTCACAAAAAACTAACAGCTTATTTTCAGTCATCCATTCATTTTTTCCCCGATTGAAAAGAAACTAATTCCTAGTCTAGAAGTCACATTCTGCGGAATAATTTTGTGGTGACTTATAATATTTAATTTATGGAAATGAACTTATTCAATATGAATTGAAGACACAGCTGATGTGATTTCATGGGTTCGTGGGTCAGCACTTTCTAAAGAAACGCCACAAGGATCTTCTTTAACCAACAAGGCAAGAACATCAAGTGAACTCCACATTTTTGTAACATTGTTGCTCGAATCTCCCAGAGTAACAGCAAATACTGCATCAAATCCTCCTGCCCCTGGAACTCCAGCCAACAATACTCCTTCCAAGTTCATTGTAGCATCTAGAAGTTGTGTTTGTGATTCTGGTTCAATCTGTATGCAATGCAACTGATAAGACTGCTGAACTCATAAATTGTTAAATATTCAAATGATCAATCAATCAGGAACAAAAATGTGAATTTCTAATACCAAACCTCTAACTACACTACAATAGAGATTATAAAAGCTAAACACCATGTAAGTATAGCATTTCTGCTCCATAAACACAATCTAAATCGTTATTAACATGTTGAAGCAAAGTAACTCTTATAACTAAATTACTGAACCAGAGTTCCATTTTCTTTATTATTTTGTGGTTACTTTCTCCAATCAAATGGTCTAACAAAAGATCTAAAAAGAATTTGTCCATGCAGCGGGTTCATCAATTGTAGATTGTACTTTCTATTTTCTAAGCTAACAGGAGTAAAATCACTAGATATATTATGGCAATGCATTATGGTAATGCATGCTCTCTGTTTGAATAATCTGGAAGATATATCTTCTAGATATTCTAAAGGATGCAAAATCACTAAATTTCAAACAAAACAAATTCATAAAGGTAACGTAAATTGCACTTGGACATACATTTTTATAAGCAAAATTGACATCATATGAACAAATAACCGTAGAAACAAGTGCTCAATTAGTGAAATGAACTTACTGGAACACCTGCAGCCTCACCCATTAGGCGCATAAGATATCTAATCCCCAGCATGGCATCTTTTGCACCTAGCAGTCCTTTAATAACTACTTCCTTGTTAGGTTCAGAAGCTTGTTCTATCCACTGATTATGAAATTTGAATTTCAAACATCGACAAAAGGAAGAAAAGTAAAAAGAAATGTCAGAATATGTGAAAGATCATTAAAACTTGACAGCATGAAAGAGCAATCTCAAGAAAATCATTTCACACATGTGCTTATGAAGTTCAAAACCTGAAACATAAACCCAGGCTTCAATTGCTACAGAACTTCATATAGAGTTACATGAATCATAGATTTAATAATAACAATATTAAATTCAATTTCTGGGCATGAGATGCCAGGCACGAGTAATTTATTTTATTTTCTCCTCTCCATGCCGCAAGATAAACCAAAAAGGATCCCCTCAATTCTTCCTCCTTAAAGGGTCAATTTAGTATGCACTGAAAAATTGGGTTAAAAAATTATCGGATGTGTTTTCGATAGTTTTTTATATCAATCTCATTAATGAAGTGTTCACCCTCCATTTTTAAGGGTTACCAAACTGACCATTAAAAGTTGGGTCATGGAAATTTTTACCATTCCATATCATCAGGTTAGAATTTACTGTGAGCCACAAACCTTGGGCAATAAAGTCATATCAAGTATGAAGGCGGGCAATAGGCACAATATAACAATATTAAAATTCCAAGTTAGTTCCAAAACTCAATCTAGCTAGAGTCAGACTCTCAAGCTAATTTTTTAATTCTATTAACCTATAAGATTGTGACCATTTCCTGCAAATAAGCTTCTATACACCTTTCCAGGGTAGCTCCAGACAGAGAAACAGCGGGATGTAATCTCTTTCAAATACATCAATTGTAATAAGAGAATTGCACAAGACTAACCAATAAAGATGTCCTATTTCATGAAAAACAAACAAAAAGAAGTGTGGAGTATAATGGTGAGAATAGTCAATCAATTAACTAGTTGCATAAGAATAAATGTTCCGATTTTCAAATTACTTCAATTAATTAAACAACCGCAAATGATCTCAAAGAAATACCTTGTCTGATCTGAGCATGCTGCATCTGTCAATTACAGATTTATATGTATCCCATTGTTCCTTTGCTAATTTGTTTAACAAGTTCAGTTGCATTTCCAATGCTGAATTTGCCTCTGACAATCTTCTCCATGTGTCCAGGGATTTCTGAGGGTCAGACTTTTGCCATTTTTTGACAGCACCAACCATTGATGGCGTGGATGATCCACCAGTTCCCGGTTCTCCTAGTAACTAAAAAAAGAAAGATATCAGTATGGGAACCAAGAGAATTCACATGCTTGGGACAAGAAAATTAGCAACAAAAAAAAAATATACCACCATTTCATCTATCTTATCATGAACAAAAATAAAGATGAAATTTTCAAGAGGCAAAGTAGTACTAACTGTTGTCAATATATAGGTGTGGACAAAAAAATTTCAATCTTGTAATATATGGTTCAACTTCTTTTATATAGAAAGTTGGATACTACATAAGTGAATTTTAGGCCCGACTCACTCAGAATATACCGCAAAAATTGAACCACCAAGCTTTCTGTCTGTTAAAATGGTTTACTGTAGAATTAGGTTAGTTAACGTGATTTTAATATTATTATTGCAGAAGAAGCATTAAGCTTCTCTCTCTTAGGTCATCATATTAATGCAAATCAAGGTTTATACATGCTGCACAAAAAAATTTATATAATAAAATATTTATAGAAAAATACAATAATAAAAAAAACCATAAAAAAATATTAGTAATAGATAAGCCTTTAATGGCTCTTAGTGCCTGTTTGGATCCCCTTATTTTTAGTTTCTCTTCTCCTTATAAGTAGAAGCTAGGTTAAACAAGTTTTGAGAAAAACTCTTATAATGAAAAGTTCTTTTTTATATAATGAAGAAAAAAGACAAAAGCCAAAAGCTCCTACGAGGAGCTTTTTTTTAAGCTCTTATCAGCTTTTCTTAAATTGTGTGCTTTTTTTTAAATGAAGAACCATAGAGATATAGAGAGAGAGAGAGAGAGAGAGGGTTTTCTTGAAATGTGTGCTTTTAAGCAAATTTTTTTATGTAATTACCAAACAACTTTTAGCTTTTTTTTAAGCTCTTTTTTTTACCTTTAGCTTAAAAGTAGCTTCTAACTTAAAAAAGAGAGGATTCAAACAGGCTCTTAGTCTCCAAATCTCATATGGTCATACAAATTATTTTGCTTAAATCAAGACAACAACACTGATTCTTGTGAACTAAAGCCTCTGACATCAGTGTTATCAGTTGTTTGTTTGCTTCACATAATTGTCATAATCAAGTATAGTCCATCCAAGTTCTTAATAAATATCTCATAAGCATCAGTAGCTGACAATGCACTGGATTCCCACAAATAAAAAGAACCCAAGTACTCAGAAATGTAGATTGCAGACAGGAAAAGCTGTTCATGGAACAGAAAACTTGAAATTTTGAAAAACCTAGAGGAATGCTTAATGGAGAAGACTATATGATAAGTAAGACATCATTTTTGTTTTCTTTTCCATGAAAAGGAGGTTTTGAATGGAAACCAAAAGTACAAATATAGATTTAGGTACACCCCGCCCCGTTCAACCAAGAACGAGAAACAATGGGGGGGGGGGGGGGGGGTAAGGAGCGAGTATCCATAGCCACAATTATAATACATTTGAACACATATTAGTCATATGCAAAATTTAAGTTGCTTACAAGAGTCATCAAAGGGGGTAAAGAGAACTCAGTCCTGCCATGGTCCCATTTTCCTTTTAGAATGTCAGTGATAACTTCTGGGATAGGCAGTGCTTTAGCTGCATCCTACAATAAAACAAAGACAATGAAGTTATTGATGTTTCTGGAACATTTCTGTCATGCCAAAACAACATTCGGTCAATTTAAAAGATAACCAACAGAAAAATCCTAATCACAATGGGTAAACTAAAATTATGCGGCTAATAGCAAGAATTAGTTACCTTGAGGTTTATTTCACCCCAAGAAAAATACAATATGGAAAGAACATGGTAACCAAGTTACAAGTTTGCCGAAAAAGACTGAATGCAATGCAGTGTTGGCTACATAAAATTACAAATATATTTGTCATGAACATTTCAAAAATCCACATATAATAGTTGTCAATAATCTCAAGATGGAAGTCAAATATGGGTCAGTGCATTATGCCAGTTCCATATTTAGTCTATAGATTCATAACACTTGCATAGTTAGTTCAAAAGCATATATCTTTTTATTATATATGTTTATGTGATGAACTTTAGTGAAAAAAAATTGTAACATTGTTGCTCAAAACAAAAGACACATGACACGAGGAGGAGGGGGGAAGACCTGAGAGGAAGAAATCACTTCTGGTGAAAACCGCACGTAGCGCTGACTGCCATACACGGCTGAACTGACATCAAACCCACTACCTACTTTTCCCTGTGCAATACAATGTGCAGTTTGAGCTATTTTATGCACCAGATCAAGATCTTCAATATCCTTCCTTTCCTGATGATCTTTCGAAGTTGAAAGCTTTACAACATCAAGGTAATGAAGTAAAGCAGCAACTACAGCAGTTGTCATTGCTGCAGATGAGCCCAAACCAGTTTTAGCTACTTCAGGCTTGCAATTTGCTCCATTACCATCATCCGTGTTGAAGGTAATGGAGGCAAAAGGTGGAAGGGAGGCCAATGATTCTGGTGTCAAAGGAAGTCCACGTCTCTCAATCTGCAGAAGCATTTATTAAGAGAAAAATGCCTTGTTCTTAAAATACTATTATGTAACGTTCAAGCCATCAACATTTAAGGAGAAAGGCTATTGAGGGGCAAAGGAGGAGAAAGTCAATGAATAGAATGAAACAAGGGCAAATTACCTCATTCCTGTATGAATAAAAAATCATTGGATTACCTCATTCCTGTATGAATAAAAATCATTGGAACCCAAAATTGTAATGTCAAGACCTGCAAGTTCAATCCAGTCATAAAATTGGAGGATTGAAGCTGTTTTTCATTTACTTACGGTTTGAGAAACATAATATTACCTCGTAAAAGTAGTTTGTGTAACAATTCCATTTTATTCTGGTCAAATGTTGCATAAGCAGCAGCCACAGAATATTGCAGTGCATATTCCACAAAAGGGTTTCTTGTTTCACTGAACCAATAAGCCAATAACTGTATTAGACCATATGCAGTTTTCTATATCACTTGCCAATGAATGAGGTGCAAATTTCGAAGTTCACAAATGTGAATGAATTAATTTGAGAGGGAGGTTATATTCATGACCTCTTTTCGCTTATAATCCCTTACCATCAAATTTTAACCGTTGATTTCTGTCAATCTAACAGTTATAATTTATTGGATCACACTTATTAACTAATTATTAATTCTAAATAAATTATAATCGTAGATTATAACCGTAAGATTGGTGGAAATTAACATTTAAGATTTAAGATTTAGTCGTAAGAAATTACAAGGAAAAAAAGGTTGTAAATATAAGTTTCCTCGTGTTGAATTACATAAAAAGAAGAAAAAAACGTGCCTTGAGGAAACAGTTTGGATGGTAAGATTTTTGAGTGCTAATTTGTACAAGGCTACTCTTGAAAGCTGAGGAGAGGTTAATTTAACATCTGTCCAAGACTGAAAGAAAAAGCAAGAAATGAGAGATACTAGTTAGTTAGTTAGTGAGTATAATTATAATATAAGATAAATGAATTGAAATTGGTATGAAGAGGAGAAGAAGAAGAAGAAGAAGAACGAACCCATGCCCAGGTATCAGGTTTGGTTTCATCATAGAGGGGTTTTACGATGGCGTAAAAGCGAGCATTTGTACTGAGGACAAGCCCTGCATTGGGTCTCTCCAGAATGAGATAACCCCCTGTCATTAACACCTTCCCAGGAGCAGAAGCAACCCTGTTTCAATCTCAATTTTGGGTGAAATCATTAACAGAAGTTAGTTCCAGTGAAATTAAATTTGATACACAACAAACAAATTTGAAGGAGTTAGTTTGTAATTAACTTACACGGCCATTGGTGTTCTACTCTCTTAAGATTAATAGAATTCAAAGTGCCTCAAAATGAAATCAGAAACGGTTGTTGTAGATTCGATCGCCACTGTTTCTACCTTCTTCGGTTTCTCTCTCTAAGCATCAGCTTCAGGAAAAAAATAAAATTAATGGTCTCGCGTTGCACGTGGACGGAAATGCAAACATGGATCGTAAGAATTGATGATTGATATAAGATAAAACAACTACTTCTTATTACTCAATTTGATCCCGAACAATATCGGACCATATAAAAAATAAATAAATCGAAATCTATGAGGTAACAACAGACCCAAAAATTTTGGAGTTATTTTTTTTTTTAAACTTGCTTTAGATAAATTATTTGCGATAATTAATTTTAACTATATTTTACTGGTAAAATATAATTATATTAATTAAATTGATTAATAATATTTACAGATGAGTTATTAATGAAAGTTTAGGAGCAAGAATCGATTTCAAAACTTATCTATTTTGGAGAGAAACTTAGCCTCAAAATGACATAAATATTTCTGCCTCTAATAGAATTGCTTCATGTAGAATATATATATATATATATATATATATATATATATATATATATAGTTTATCTAAAAAGAAAAATTGATATTTTTTCGGCCATTTTTTATTTTTTTTGGTAAACTTTTTCGGCCATGTTATTGAATCCTATAAGTTGACATTTTATTGAGTAATTTTTAGGCGATAGTTTGTAAAATCACAACCATTTGTATATTCTAGTAGTAATATGATACGTTCGTGTGTTAAACAGTTAATGTTATTTAATTTTCTTCACAAACCAATGAACTTTATTAGGTCATAAGGTAACCTTTTTTTATTAAGTCGCGTCTAATAACAATACTAGTAATAGCTAGTTGTCTCAAGGGGGACACTTATATGGTTAAGCATTGAGTTTCCCATTTTTAGGAGGTTCTATGTTCAGATCATATAGATGCAATCTTGGAAGATGAAAATATTAACCTTCCAAATTAGTTGACCTGACCATGATTTCTAGCTATCTATGCGAATCTTAACAAATACTATCATAGTTAGTACTCATTTCAAATGCATGTCAACGTTAGGTCTGTCACAATTAATTGCATTTGTAAGGCTTACTAATACTTAGCATTCAATTAATAGAAATTTTTAAGGCCAGTCATGATTCTTTTTTTTTTGAGCGAGCGATTACATAAATTGAGTTCTATTGGTGTAATTTGCAGGTTAATCATCAACACCTCTAGTGATCAGAGGTTAGCTTTCAAGCTTAGTCCTGCTTTATGGTTATTAACCAGCAAAAAAATTATCACTTCTATCTAAATTTAATTGTGATAATCATAGGATCAGTCCTAGGATCATATTTCCTTATCTAGTTGACAAGTGCAGCTTCGTATATGATTCTTACATACTTCAGGAAGAAAAACAAGCAATTATTGAAAAAATTCTGGAACACGATAGAGCTCTCAAGCCCATGAAATACTCTTATGCTAAAATTAATTTTGTAAGATCTGTTTCAGCATTACAATGCAATAGAAATAACTTAGTAATTAACGAATTATGCCTGTTTGAAAATTTCTTGTTTCTACATTTGGTTTTGTCGAGCACCCATAAAAAAAAAGTTATCACATTTTTAATAACAACTAAACTAAAATGATTAGTGCGGTGACCGGGGCGAGAGATTAGTCTCATGACTATCGGCTGTGGGGATACCCGGATATAATCCAAAAAAAATAATTAGTGTATAATTTGGAAATAAAAAGCACTGGCATTATGGCCACGATCGAGAAAGTAATTGTGATCTATAAAGCACCGACACTTCAAAAATCTTGACGTCGTGTCTGACACTTTTCGACACTCAAAAAAGGTTTAAAGGTTGCGTTACGTTTTGAGTTTCAACTGTTAGATTCGTTGGATTACGATTACTATTTTATTGAGTTTAATATAAATATTTGGGTTATCTTATGTTTCTTAGCAAAATTGATGAGTATTATAAATTTAGCTTTGTTTTTTTATTAAATTATTGAATATTAAATATAATATATATTACAAAAATTAAAAATATTATTTAATATCAAAATACGTGTGTCAAAATTTAACATTTTTTAAAATTAACGTGTCGAAGTATCATGTCATATCTCGTGTCCCGTTTCAGTGCAACATAGATTATGGTAACTTGGGAGGAGAAGTTCGGCAAATTGGGCACGACGCATTCAGCGGAAGCCATTCATCGATGCATTGTGAATGAAAGCAATGTCCACATTCGGGTATGGTTTTCACAGTCTCTTTGGGTATATACTCTGATAGGCATATTGGGCAGGTCTTGTCATCGGGCTTGGGTAAGCATCTGCTCTCACCTATAACTATTTTTGGGTAGGATTCAATCGTGGGCCCATCAAGGCCCGAAATGTTGGTGCGCTCTGGGCCAATAAGAGGCTCAAAATCTGGCACACTCCCGTTAGCCGAAGCCCAACCGTGGGTCCCAATTCCGTACCTGCTGCATATGCAACTCACTACTGCAATGAAGCACAAAAACACTGGTGTCCCTATGCAAATGGCTAAGGCGTAACTTGCAGAACGGGAAAACCCTGTAAACGTCAAAAAAAATTCATGATTAATTATTTTGCAACTTGTAATAAGGACCATCATGTATAGTATTAAAGTGCTAAAGTTGCTGTTTCAACTTTGGAAGAAGAAAACTGCAATGAGCAATCCATGCTTTTTAGTGGAGAAATAAAATAAATTATCATGTAGTCTCCCACCTCAGTATTTTATAAGCTTCACCAAATCCTCTCTTCTATTTAAATAAACTTAAAACAAGCAAATTTCGTTGTCTTAACTTTGTTTACATTTTCACATCTTAATTCATGGGAAAGAATGTTATTTTTCTATACACGGATTCATAATTTAGAAGCATATATTCTCATTCATCCAATTTGACTTAACCAGGTTATCAACAGCTGCAAGTTATTAATTAAAAAAAATATATCAAATGATGATAGTTCAGTTCACACTAAGAAACTCAACAAACCTCTCAGTATTATTTTTGGAAGGAGTTTAAAACCTTAATTATGAGAATCACCTCGAATTAAATTAGTCGCGAAAGATGAACTGATTGAAATATCTCTAGAAAAACACATCAAATATATGAGTCCACTAAAATTTTTTTCTCCATATTAACTAAAAAAACAACTAGAAGTTATTTATTTCAACTCTTTCATCTAATTACCTAACGATTAATTCTCCAAAATGAAACGGGATTAAAATTAAGCTGGAAGAATCAAAGTGAAATCAAACATCTGAAAGAAAGGCAATGAAAGAATAAATTTAGTACCTTTTGATGGGACTTTTGAACAGTGGAGTTCAAAAGTGTTGTTGTTCTCGAAGCCACAGCGGTCACCGTGGGACTCACACCTTCCGCACGGCGGCGAATCCCACGAGAGGCGGAGGTCGTCGGCGAGGTCAGACGACAGTACATGCTCGGAAAGCGGCGACTGAACAGGAACCTTAACCGTGTCAACCAAGTCACAAATAGATGACAAGTGAGCAAACACACTCTGGGAAGGTGTTGCAAAAACGGCGTACTTAGAAGCGTCGCTGAGACAAGCTATTGGTTTGTAACGATACATGAGGTACTCCAAATTCAAGGAGCAGTTAAAGAAGGTGAATTCTTGGTAGTAAACGGCATCGAATGGAGACCCTGAGAGGTTGAGTGAAAGAAGTCGTTTTGGGATGCAGTTGTTGGGGTCATTTACCCATAGTTGTTGTGCTGCATAGTTTATTCTTTGTATGCTGAGTTCTCTTGAATTAGGTAGTTTGAGCAGTGTTTGGCCCTTTTCACTGCAGGATACTTTGAACCCTGGATAACCACATGTCTTTTCCTGTTTTCCCTCTATCTGGAACGGGAATCGGATTATTGGCTCCTTTATTTGGCACACACTGTCCAAACATGTTTCCATGCTTGCTACCAGTGTCAGGTATGTGAAGAAAAGGATGAGTGAGAGAATATTCATGTTTGTGAAATACTGATATTTTGGGTTTGGGTTAGGGTAAATGATAGTGGACTATATGATATAATTTTTAAGTATCTTGCTTTATGCAACAATAATGTGTCTCCTTTTTTATTACTTTTCATTTTTTAACCAAATAGATGTCAAGGAACATAAAACAAGAGGTTCGGTCAGGAGAAATATACTGGGGAGGGTTTTTTCTGTGCGTCATGCTTTTTATTTGTAAACTAAAGCAGTCAATTGAATTATAAGCTCATTTGAGATATTTGACCTGAAGAAACGCGATGGAATATCCGCGACATCAAATTGAAAATTTGTATGTGGGGTTATTGGTAAATTCAAGGTGCCATACTCATTATCACTGATATTTAAGAGGGATGGCCTCCCTTTGTGTTAAGCCCCTGAATTTGGAGCAAACTTAGTGTGGGCGGGATCTAAAAAATTTAGATGGAACTGAGGCGAGAAAAAGAGAGAAAAAGTTGAAGAGAGAGGAAAGAGAAAAGAAAAATAAATAAATTTAATACATGTGTTGATTTTTGAGTGGAAGGACCACGGTGGTCTCGGAGTATTTAAAAAATTTCCTGAATTTGAAGTACTATGACACTTTGTGCAGAATAAGATGTGTAGTTTTTGTACTAGTTTTGTAAGATTGATATCAAGTTACCAACCCAATTACCTACATATTAATTAGTAGCAATTAATGAAAAAAAGAAAAAGAAAAAGAAGACTTTGATTGACTTCTCATCAACCTTTTTAATTGTCCTATTTCGATTAAGGTGTGTGGGTGTTTCACATTGCTTGTTAATGTTGATTACTCGTATCAAATTTAATTACAATTCATACTCCTTTCGTATAAAATATATTCTTATCAAATGGTTAAATTTTTTTAACCTGCTATCATTTAAAAAAAGATATATGTCATTTTAAATTTTTGAAAAAGATAGTTGAGTGACATAATATTAGAGCTTTTATGACAAATAATCTAAAGTTAATCTTTTCCGAATTTCATCACAGAAAAGATGTCCAATGACAAAACTTTCATCATGGGCCGTCCATTCTTCTTGCTTCGAGTCCAATAAAAATCGTTTTGCATAAAGGACTTGCTAGAAATTTAACATTTGAGTTTTGTGAGAGAAAGAAAAGTGAAACCTAGAGAGAGAGAGAGAGAATGTCGTCGACGGTGCTGGAATCGACTCGGGCAGCACACGAGGAGGTGGAGCGGTTGGAGCGGCTGATAGTGAAGGACCTCCAGAATGAGCCTACCTCAAACAAAGAGCGTTTGTTTCAGAGCCACCGTGTGCGAAACATGATCGACACTATTACCTCCACCACTGAAAAGCTCGTAAGTTTGCTCATTAGGTTTTTCTTTATTTATCATTCACATCCTAACCTAGCATACTTTTTGCATCTCTCTCAGATTGAGATATATGAAGATAACGACAATGCAAGGAAGGATGAGATTGCTGCACTCGGAGGTCAAACTGCTACTGGAATTAATGTTTTTAGTGCTTTTTATGATAGACTCAAAGAGGTTATTTATTTATATTTTTTTTTATATTTTTAAGTAATTTTTGAACAATTTTTGTTTTGTATTTTTCAATTTAGAGATTTAAGCTGGTTAGGATATGCTACAAAATAAATAATTGCATATGGTGAAGTTGAGTTGAATCCGTTATTTGATCGTTATTACCAGTGTATGTGTAACGGATTGGTTGTTTTGTGGTATTGCAGATACGAGAGTATCATAGGAAGCACCCAGTTGCTCGTGTTGTTGATGCTAATGATGATTATGAAACACTTCTTAAAGAGGAACCTCAAATTGAGTTTAGTGGAGAGGTCTCTCTCTCTCTCTCTCTCTCTCCCTGTGTGTGTGTGTGTGTGTGTGTAATCACCAATTCTCTGGAGAATATGAAAATATAGAGAATGCTGTTTGCTTTTGGTAAAATTTAACTTGGGCTAGCATGTGGGATACACTGTCAAACTACAACTTGGGGGGTTCTTCATCTTTTGAGAATAACACGGACAATTCATTAGGATTTTTTTTGTTTACCTCGAATCTTTTTTGTGCATGATTGAACATTTTCATAGTCTGCCTGTGCATTAGGAAAGCAGGGAAGAGGTTCTTGTTTGAGGTGCTTTTTTCTGAAAACAACGAGTATATTGAGTATGCAAGATGAAACTAACATTTTCTAATGTTAGGATATACAATGTCCCATTTCCAATTCTGATAATTTATGCTCCTGTAGCTTTTTCTGGACATTGATTTTTTGTAAAAAAATTCTTCCAGGAAGCTTTTGGTCGATATTTAGACATGCATGAATTGTACCATCAGTATATCAATTCCAAATTTGGAGAGCCAATTGAGTATTCTGCATACCTTGATATTTTCTCAGAAACAGATAAGATTCCACGCAAAATGAAAATGACAAGGTGAGTTGTCTTCTCCATTGAACAGATTTGTTGATCATTTGACATTAATGTGCATCCTAATTTTGTATGAAATTTGTATAGGCTTTCTAAGTATTTGCCATTCAATTTCTATAGGCAGTACAGTGAGTATTTGGAGAATCTTTTGGAGTATCTGTTATACTTTTTCCAGCGGACAGAACCCCTGCAAGATCTTGATCGAATTTTCTTAAAGGTGATTAATTTTATGTGGCCACTGTTTTGTACTTATAGCATTTTTTAGCATAATTTTGAGCCTCACTTTTCTGTAAGGATAGAATGGTATTTTTATCTCATAGTTCTGAAATTGTTGGACTAGAAACTTAATGAATCTTTGCTTTAAATGATTTGCATTAGTTTTTGTTACTGATTTTTTTTTTCCCCAATGAATTCCGTTATTATGTTTGGGCCGTCAAAGTGTTGTATAAATATGTTCATAATTTTGTGGCAATTTATTCAACCTTTTAATCATTCCACTACCATAATTTTTCCTTTATGGAAAAGTAGTAATCATTTTTTTTTTGTGGTGTTTATAAAGAAACTTACAACTTTTTTCTTTCACATAATCCTATTTTCTGTATTAAAACATTTTTGAAATTTGAACTAATGCTAATATTCCACAGATATTTCTGGTGCACTTCATTATTTTGAACAGACTTTAAAAAGCACTATATGATTTTAATATATTTTATTTTGTATGCACAGATGCATGCTTGACCATTGACTAGTTTGACCTAAATGAATGAACTTCCATGTTTTAACAGTCATCTTGTGTAATTCCTGTTCATGTTTTCATGCCTGTTCATTTATTGGCCAGAGTAATGTAGAGTTTATATCACATCATAAGTGGTGTGCATGAATTTTTCAAAGATAACATAAATTTCCATCTCGTTGACATGGATGGGGGATTCCTTGTGCATTATTTTCATTTTTTCTCTTTTTATGGGAGGGAAAACCTGATATAGCTTGGCAGGTAACAACTGAGTTTGAAGAAAATTGGGCTACTGGAAAGGTACAGGGATGGGAGAATGACCTTCAGGAGAATGGACATGTACCTGCTCAGCACGCAGCAATTGATCTTGATTATTATAGTACAGTTGAAGAGCTGATGGAAGTGGGTCCTGAAAGGTTAAAGGAGGTAAAATTCAGGACTGTGTGTATCCATTAACAATGTAGCTGGTGATGTACAAAGATTCACCCTCTCTTTTCATAAACTTAATATCTTAAATTTCTGTATACATGAAGTACAAAGATCAAGTATTTTGCCATCATTGATTTCAGTAAAACTTAGTCTTTTGATAACTGTTTTTCCCCCCTTGTTTTCTGCCATGCTTTTTTATATGATAGGCATTGGCTGCATTGGGGCTTAAGACTGGCGGTACTGTTCAGCAACGTGCCGAGAGACTCTTCCTTACAAAGGTGATTTATACCCTTTAACAAAGTACAAGGTTACACTTCCTTTCTTTTTTCTTTCTTTTTTGGTGGAAGGAAATAGGGATTTAGGGATTATCTTCTCTGTAGGGGTTTTTAAGTGACTTTGTTCTTACTATCTTCTTCCAAGTTGACTGTCATAAGTCTAAGATTATTAGTTCAAATTCTGGGAGCTTCTTCTGTTGGAGTCAAAATTATATATACCCACTGCGCTGGACCCATATTGACAGTTCTACTGCTAATTTAAGATGTTTCAACTTTTGCTGGCCTATCACTCTGCCCCCGCTATAAAATGTATAATTACTCTCCCTTGAAAACTAGCTAATGTATATATTATTGGGTCTTGGCATAATCTATAATTTTATGCTTTTGTGATGGGGATCGTTTCAATTAGAAATGCTTGAAATTCCAAAATTTGTTCAGCTTATCCATTATGTCATGGATTTTGAATACTGTGAAAATGTGAATTCATTAACTATTATAAAGTGACATTTCTACCTAGCATTGTAGATCAAAATTCAATTCAAATCCTTCAAGCCTAATCTCCTATTTGGTTGGAAGAGGCCCTGGTTCCCTGAATTTCAATTATAGTTGCTTTGCTGCTTGTAAGCTGTACCTGCGTAATCTGGATTGACAGCTTCAACAACACCTTTATCCCAAATTAATTGGGGTCGGTGGTAGATGAACCCACATGAAAGATACAAAACGGTTGAAAAAAAGTTAAAAAAAAAATAAAAAATAAAAAATAAAAAATAAAAAATAAAGTAAAAAAGTAAAAAAGCCAAAAATAAATAAATAAAAATAAACAAATAAAATAAAAATATAAAATAAGATAAAATAAAATAACAATATATGTATATATAAATAAATGACAGCTTGACATTACAAATTTTGTTTGGTTTTGTTCTTTATGCAGCACACGCCTCTTGAAAAGCTGGACAGGAAGCATTTTGCGAAGGGGACACGTGGCTTAGAAAAAAATGGGGTTACTGATGTTCCACAAGAAGATGGAAATTCAAAAGAAATTGCATTAATGGAGGCCAAAATGAAAAAACTCTGTGATTTGTTAGAAGAGGTTAGCACATGATGCTTAATTTCCTTTAGTTCCTTTGATGTCTGATATTCAA